TCACAGATCAAAACGCGAAGCATTGCGCACTGCGTCACGCTAGTTTTTTTTTTTTTAATGTAGATTAACAGCTGTTCCATCTATCGTTTTAGTTAATGTAATGATACATATGAATCTTGATATTATCGCGCGCTGTATTTCTATTGTCTATAATCAACATCTAAAGCATCGTCCTTTCACTTCGTATTTTGCTCCACTTTCATTTTTCTTTGAGCTTTTATTTTACTAATTGAAGAGTTCTTTTCCTTTGCACGCCACGTTAGCCTTTCTCAGCGGACTTGTTTCTCTCGAGTTTTCCATTGGAATTGTTTGTTTATTACAGCAAATATTGCGCCGTGTGACATGAAAAAAATATATATTAAGAATATTTTATAGTGCGATGTCTTTAAAAAATATTTATTTTTCCTTCGGTAAGAGTTGTTAACTGTACACTACACAATCGACAAGTATTTTCTCGATTATGTTGCATCACCGGGTTTTCTTATCGAGTTTTTAAACAATTAATAAACATGCTAATGAATAATAAGCAGAAGAGAAGAAGAAAAATATCGAAAATTTATTATAAAATCAAACATATGCCGTATATTCTCAACATTATTTCTTTTTTATTACTATTTAAAGTCATGTCTCAAATAAGACTATCAACGTTGTAAAAGCAATTATCATTTGCAAGATCGTAAAGAATATTTCGTCTATATTTGTCTCGGCGAATAGTGCGCGAAAAGTGCGATTTTTAAAAATTTTTATCATCGACCCGGAGAACTCTTATTACGCTGAATCGCCGAACTGTATCGAACGTAACGACGGAAGTGATTTTTTACGACATGCAAAATACGAGCAACACAAATGGCAATTCGCGCGGGTTACGCACCGAACAAAGTACGTGCGAGGAATCGCGAATGATGTCGAAAATCCGACAATTTACCAGCTGCATTCTACGTACGGTCCACAATGTACGCCTATTGTCCACGTGTGTCGCACTCGCGATAATTGAAATACATTTTGCATCCACACGGATACAATACCGTGAATTGCCACCTACTCGACGTCACTCGGCCGACAAATCCGCGCGTCTGCATATGTTAATTTTAAAATTAATTAATCAAATGAGTCCAGCCCATTGTAACATTTTCCGAACATGTGTGAAAAGGACAAAAGTTTTCATGCTTTTGCTACAACGCGCTATTTTCGATTTGTACCGTTGAAAAATTATAACAAAATAATTTCGTGTCGGCCGTGTCCCGAATCTTTTAAATCTAATATTTTGTATTATAAAATATTTAAAAAATATGTACATTCTACTGCGCATATTAATCTTAATTGTATTCAATCTGAAATATATATATCTAACAATTTGTACATTCTATACTCATTGCGCAATTTAATTAGTTTAATTTCCAGGAACACAGAAAAAATATGCTAAAATAATAACATTACACACCACGGATCTTATATTATTTAGATGCATAAAAAATTTATCAAAAGCTAAAATAAAAGCTAACATAATTTCGTAGACAATAAAATAGACAAGGATAATAAATTCCATAACGTTATGATCAAAGAATAGGGATTTATATGAGAAATTTTAATGTTATATCAGACACCGATAAATGGAGCTGAATTTGCATTTCTCTACTATGCGCTAATGAAACGAGTATCGAGGTTTGAATTACGGAAATATTAGTTCTCAATATTGAGAAACGTGAAGCGTTTACGCTTCTAATAAACCAAGGTATTATCTGATACTCATGGAATGGGTATTTTAACGGAAACAACAAATTTCAGATTACGTCGATGATTTAGATTACATTTTATATTGGAAATATTTACAACTCTTGAAAGTTGCTTTATTTCCATTAATTAATATTAATACATAATAATTCCTTCAATCTTATAAAATATAATTAATGTTATCCGTTTCGAAAGCTTTTTTATAGTTTCCTCAGCAATATCAAAATAATCTCTTGACTTTTTCGAGATTTTTATATGAAAATATAAAATATTTCTACGGGCATTCTACACAATTAATCGAGTATTTTAACGTAATGCTTGTGCATATTGATGCATTCAATAAATTTGATTATTTTTGATATTTCAATGATATGCAAAATACGACGCGATGAGCTTAATTATGTCCTGTAACATTATTGTGAGGCAATATCGGTATACGCTGCCATATAATCATGTTAATTAATGCATACTAGAGTACATGGATTTACCGCAATTACCGCTTATCCGTTTTGCCATTAATCTTCATGTCTCCATTCTCGTGTATCATTTTCGTGGCGCGCACATATTTGGGTATTTAACAATCAACGATGGAAGGTATTTGATAATTTATGCGCCACAAAAATAGTCAAATGTTGCACGATAAATGGAAACTAACGATTAAAGTAATAGCGCTATTCTATTATGTTTACATAAAATAGGAAGTATGAAGAGTCTAAAAAAAACAATGATCTTCCTTCAAAATTTATTAACTTGAAGCTAAAATTTTTTTACATCCAAATACGAGTCGAACTTACGAAATCATCGATTATTCTATTCTTATTTTATCCTGCCGAAACATCATTAATCTATCTAAACATAGTATCGCATCAGGCAGGTATATCAGGCATCTCCAAAGGAAAAATGCAAAATTATACTGTATAAGTGACATAGATAAATGATAAACGACACATACAAAATGATAATATAAATTGCTATTTTGATGAATATACTATTACAAACATACGTAAATAAAATAGTATTTATATATTTTTTTTTTACAAGACATCCAAGCATACATGTGCTGTCGCATTTACTCTACTATAGTCGCAATAGTCGTATGTCAAATTCATCCAGTCTTTTTAACATATAAATCACAACGCATTGAATATTTGAAAACGATGAGATAGTATTTGATTAGATATACATATTAGGTATAAAATCGAGACTAATACATTATATATTCCGGGGGCTCGAGCCATGCTTGATGCAATCTCTCCTGCCGCGCACCAGGAGGATTATTTGTATATTTGCCAGTGGCGTTGGAGGGTGTCACCGCTGCAGTCCGACCTGCATCCATCGAGAGACTAGACATCATCTCTCTGGAGTATCGGATTCGAAAGATATATATGTATATATTGTGATATATATATATATATGTGTATCATTGTATTGTGTTAGTCTAAACACGTTATTTGCGTATAAATATCATCACATGCCTCTGTAATTGAAAGGACAAAATGCCTGCCCAGTAAGCAGGAGATTCAGATTTGATTCCTGGCTGAGA